GGCATTACCAACTGACGATGTAATTCACTTTCTTCATTTACTTCACTTCTTGTCAGCAAATGCTAGAGATCTGGTAGAGAGATCTGGTATGATCTAGTCTTTATGTTTTATAGGGTTTCAAAGCTACCAAGACCTTCATGGTCCACAAGTGTCAGTGATAATATTGAGGCCCAGTGAGAAAAGTGGGCTGCGATTACTTTCGTGGTGATGCTTTGCCATGTGGGTGTCATTGGAAAATTCTGGATAAAATTCAAGATATTGTCAATATATATTCAATATAGCATCCTTGGTTTCCTAAGGATCACTCAACTCTGAAAGGATGAAAAAGATATAAACAGATGACATTAGTAAAAATGTTAGATTTGTTTGATGGAGACCAAAGAAATGAAAATTAGAGTTTTCTACTTTCTACGGTTTGTTTGGCATTGAGTAGATATGATTGTTACCAGGCTTTGATTTTTTTTTTTACCTCATTTGATTGGTGTATAAATGGTTGATGTACATTTTCTATTACTGGCACCAATAGTAATGTTTATATTTATAATATCCAAGGTGATTTTGAACTCTTGCTATATGGTAAGTGCTGAGTTAAGTATCTCATATACGACATTCCCTCATCCTATTGGGAAGTTTGGCCCCTATTTACAGATTAGAAAACTGAAATTCAGAGAGCCTCAGCATAATTTAACTAAAGAAATCCTGGTTACAAGACTGATAAAAGGTGGAGCCAAAAAGAGCCCAAGTTCTCACCGAAGGCAGGGGGGAACTCAGGGTCTGTACATTGGTTAGCTATTCTGTAGCAGAATAGCTACAGAGCTGCAGTGATAAGAAGCTGAAAATAGGTGTCTTGAGACAGTATAAACTTAGAAGATTCAGAGCTCTCATTGAATTTTTAATTGATTAGTGTTTCTTTTTTTTATTCAGCAAAAAACTTTGTTGGTTTCCAATATACATCTGTGGGCATGACCCTGCTTCCTGTCCGTAAGAGATTATTATCACAAATATGAGGCAAACCTCTGAGATACAAGCTACCATAAACAGAAGCCAAGTTCAAAGCTCACTGAAGGGAGATGTTACCTCATCTTTTGGGAACTGGCTGTGCAAAACTCAGAACAATTTTAGTACAAGGGAGTGCAGAGTTTCATGACATAGAGAAGTGGAGAGGGTGTTTCATGAAACAATGAAGTTATATGAGGGGGGGAAAAGGCAAGAATAAATGGACAGTTCAGTGTGTATTTATCAAACACACATATAACTGCTATTGAGGTCATTAGTCAGATCTGTGCTGGTCACTGCACCAGCTGGTTCCACGTGCTCCATCTCAGTGCCCAATCCCAATCTCCAGCATGACCACTGTCCTTTCATTTGTAGTTTTATCATCTGAGCATGCATTCCTAGACAAAAGAGTTTAATGTTGATTGTTTTATTTTCTTATTTGACTATATTTTGAACCACTTATTATTTATTTTCTTACATCACTGTTAATTTAGGGACAGTGTTGGATTTCTTCCCTTCAGTGTAACCCCTGTTGTTCTCTTACCACAACAGCATCTGTGACCCATCTTCAGAGTCCTGTGCTATTTCCTTCCTTGTTTGGACCTCTCTTCCCCCTCCCCTGCTGTACACCTCAGATCTATGGTCAGCTTACAAGTTTTGTTTTTTTTTCCTGATATTTTGTTTGGTCTCTCTAGATTCTGAATATAAGCAAAACCACCCAATATTTATCTTTTTCCTTCTGACTTATTTTACTTAGCATAATCTCCTCTAGCTCCATCCATAAAGATGCAAATGGCATGAGTTTATCTTTTTTGATCACTGAGCAGTATTCCATTGTGTATACATACCACATCTTGATTCACTAATCTGTTTTGGGTCATTCAGTTTGTTTCCACATCTTGAACTACTTCAACAACTTCCCTTATAACTTTTCCTTGTAATTTTCTATTGAAGAACCCAGATCATTTTACTGTACTGCTGTCCTTGGTCTGATTGCATCTTCACAGTACAGTTGAGCATTCCCCTCTGTATACTGTTTTCCCTATGTATTGGCTGTTAGATCCAGAGACCTGATCAGACTCAGACTCCATCCTAGGATCAGTTTAGCCAGATAATAGCCAATTAGGAGAACTTAAGAGATCAGATAAGAAAATACCTTTAATACTATGACAATGAACCTAGGCTATGGCCTGTGTATATGAGGGAGGTGTGGGCAAGTAGCTATAGGTATTTCTATAGATAATAGGAGGTGGGGAGACTTGAGGGAACCAACATTGTAAGTTTTAGAGCCAAGAATAACATCTTTTAGACTGTCCTTCCCAGACACATTTCTATGTAGGAGTGATTCTCTTGATCATACATTAAATGTGTGAAATCTGGGTATAATATACAGATGTTTGATTGTTATTTTCTGTAGAACTATGATATATAAAAAAGGCTGCTAAGAAATTCCTATAATGGCCCTCCCTGGTGGCGCAGCGGGTTAAAGCACAGCACCAAGAAGCTGAAACCACTTCCGCATGAGTTCGATTCCCACCTGCCCCAGAGATGACCACATGGCGAGGCAGACCTCTCCTGACCTGCCCGCTGCTCCCCTCAGCAGTGTACTTCGTTGATCTGCCTGTTCTGCTCCCGACTCTGTCTCTGGTGAAGTCTTTCACCACCCCTGAGTCTCTGGCCTGTACCCCAGTTGTGTATGCACAAATAAATAAATCTTTAAAAAAAATTAAAAAAAAAAGAAATTCCTATAAATGCTTTGTAAATGGAACTGTAATAAGGAATGATAAGTTCATGGTATAACTGCTTTTAAGAGTAACATTTTACATATTAGAAGAATAAGCATAGGGATAGACATATGAGTCTTAAATCAATAATTATAAAAGGAAAAAATCTGAGAAGATGGTCTGTTGAAAAAGAATTATATTTATATTTAGTTTTTAAGGAAATAAAAATTATGCTCATTTTTTTTTCTAAAATAGCTAATTGAAAAATGTTCCCACCATTAGCAGGGCAATAACCTGGAATTAAATGGAATTTGGGAATGTTCTCACAAGTATTATTTCTGAGAGTCCTGAGGAACTTCTTGGTTTCATTATTCAACTTTTTTACTTTTTAAAGGTCAGATGTTTATAATAATAGTTAGGATGTACTTAACACTTACTTTGGGCTAGGTATTATTTTTAAGATTTTATATTTCACTAACTTAATTCTCATAATAACTCAATAAAGTAGGCATAATTACTACCTCCCTCCCCCCCCCATTCATTTTAAAAATTAAGAAACTGAAGTACAGAGAGATTAGATTTCTTGTCCAGATTTACACAGCTAGTTAGCAGTGGAATGGAGATCCAAACTCAGAATCTATGTGACTCCACTATACTTCCCCTCAAGTAGAATCCACTGATGGCTGAGGCCAGTGGTTCAGACTTTGCCTTAATAGGGAGATTACATATCTATTTTCAAGCTGAAATATATTCTTCTTTTCATGAGGATATAGGTTTAAGCCTGAGCTCCACTATAACCTGTACCCAAATAATCTGGCACAGCATCCTTTCCCAATTTGTAACTCAGTTTACTTACTTTTCCTATGCAGATGACAAAAATATATCCTTTCCAGAATATTTTGAAGATCAAATAAAATCAAATCTAGGACAAGTTAACAGAAGTAAAATGGTGTTTCTTCTATGTGTGATAGATGACATTGTGACTGGTACAGTGTAGAGACTCTGGATTCAGCTACATTCCTCTCAGGAGTTTATTTGCTTTTGAACATGAAGATAACTTGACTGAAATCAAACTCCAAATTCTACCCTTACTGTGGTGGGCAGCTGTAGAAATTTCTGTTGAATTCACTTTGTACTTTCTGATTTGCTTTGGCACCTACCGCATACTTGCATGGTTCAAATTCTCTGTTAACAGAACAATCCCCACTTTATAGGATTTCTCTTTTCAATTTCCAGCTGCTATTATACTTGCGAAGCAAAAGGAGTGATTTCTCAAGTCAGTTAAGATTATGGATTTTATGTCTAGGTTTTGTTTATCCAACTTGGCATGAATTGGGTCTGCCCTCAGACAAAAACAGTGACATTCCTTTTTCTTAAATGTAAATTTTCTTCCAGCTTGTTTTTGGTTATTCTTTAGGTAGGTTTTTTTTTTTTTTTTTCTGAATTTTTAGTTGTTATGAGGTGGCTGATCTAATAGAAACTATACTTCTTTTATGGAAAGCTGGGAGATGTGATCCTGAATAATTTTTATATAAATCTTTTTTTAGCTACCACAATTCCATACAGTTTTTTTCCAAAGATGCTAAACCTAGTTCTTCAAGTCTCTTTTAAATTGGTAATGTTGTCCTTTGAGACTCTAGTTTTATTGTACAAGTCTCACTTTTAGGCCTTTGACTTCCATAGTCCTGGTATCATGTCCTGTTAGTCAGTGGGTATGAACTGTATCCCAGACCTTTCACTCAACATCAAAGTCATTTGGTTTGTTTCAGTATACCAGCTGACTTGAATTTATTTCTTCATTTTTTGAAACTAGAGGCTTTCTTTCATTATTATTTTTCTTGCTATGACCTCTGCTTTTATCTTAACTATTTTATAAAAATGATTACAATTTGGCCCTCCCTGGTGGCGCAGCGGGTTAAAGCACTGCACTGAGAATCTAAAGCCGCTTCCGCATGAGTTCAATTCCCGCCTGCCCCGGAGGTGACCACATGGTGTGGCAGACCTCTCCTGACCCACCCGCTGCTCCCCTCAGCAGTGTACTTCGTAGATCTGCCTGTTCTGTTCCCCACTCTGTCTCTGGTGAGGCCTCTCACCGCCCCTGAGCCTCTGGCCTGTACCCCAGTTCTGTATGTACAAATAAATAAATCTTTAAAAAAAAATGATTACAATTTATTCAGTAAAATCTGTGTTTATAGTGAGAACAGTATACCTATATTAGCTTAATCTGATTTGTTTCCAGATGTTTGTAACAATTGTTTTTTGTTTTTTGTTTTTTAATAGTGGACAGCATCAGTGCACCTTTAGGCTGTAACATGGGCTGCCAGTTCCTGCATTCAGGAGAGAACTGAGTTGTGGTATGGATATGCAAACTTTGGGCAGAGATCCTGTAGCCCTTAGAATAGCTGAGGGCATAGGAACAACTCATGCTATTTCGTATCTACTATATAGCTCATAGTCTAAGCCAATCACCATATAGTATTTCATTTTTTTTTAAAGATTTATTTATTTGTGCATACAGGCCAGAGGTGCAGGGGTGGTGAGAGGATTCACCAGAGACAGAGTGGGGCACAGAACAGGCAGATGGAGGAAGTACACTGCTGAGGGGATGAGGGGAGCCGAGGGCTGGTTAGGAGAGTTCTGCCGCACCATGTGGTCACTTCCAGGGTGGGCGGGGTTCGAACTCATGCTGAAGTGGCTTCAGCTTCTCAGTGCTGTGCTTTAACCTGCAGTGCCATCAGGGAGGGCCTAGCATTTTATTCTTACTATTCTTCACTTTAATTGTATTACTTCCCCTTTCACACATTAGAGAACTGAGACTTAGTCATAAAGTTAACTTGTTTCAGTATAAGAAGAGTCAGATTTCAAGTTGTTTGAAAACCATAGACCTGTGGCGTTCTTCTGACTCAACGTTATTCCTAAAGTAATTATATAGATGGGAAAATGGAGACTTTACCATGTTTATCAGCATTCTTACCAATATTTGAGAGAGCTTATTAGTGCTGGAGAATGTCTAGAGGAGTTTCACATGTGTATTTGTCAACTCCATTCTTTTCATAGGTGAAATTTATGTATGCTGCACTCTCTATGATGCCTAAATTCACACTAAAGGGATTTATTTGCCTGCTCCTTTGGAGTAAAGTGGAAGCAAGGATTACAGAACTTTAGACAGAAATAAGTTGAATAGTCAAAGTCCGTCTGACAGTATAGTCTTTTAGCTAATTGGGCTGTCATCATAGGGTATAGAGATCAATTTTTAAAAAAAGAGAAAAGTAATGATAGTAGAAGTAAAATTAACTAAAAGGAATTATAAGAGGAAAATATATAGCAATACAGGCTCACATAAAGAAACAAAAAATAACTCAAAGAAACAACCTAATCTCCTACCTTAAAGAACTGGAAAAAGAAAGCAACAACAACAACAAAATAACCAAAAAGCCAGTAGAAGGCAGGAAATAATAAAAGTCAAATCAGAAATAAATGAAATGGAACTTAGAAGTAAAATTAAAATCTAGGAATTAATATCTTTAGCTTCTAGGTTAACGTGTTCTTATCAGAAATGTGGTCAGCAATAAAAACTAATTTAATATTGTTAACCAATGAAAGAAAAAAATTCAAGTTCATTTTAATACAGGTTAGCTCTATTTTATTATGTTTATATATTGCTCACTCACTGATTCATTGGTGGCCTAAATCTTCTTTACTGAGAAGAATATTTATATCATTTACTTAGCATAATTTATCAACCAGAATAAAATGTGTCCCTATGAATTAATATATACTTAGCTTTTTTTCCCTTAAAGATCCATCACAATATATATGTTTTCTATACTTGGCCATTAAAAATTGAGTAGTCATTTGATACTGATGGATGTTATCTTTAGAAGTGTGGCTACAGTTTTTCAGCAATATTAATACCTTTCTTTTTATAAAGAAATTTCCTTCTGGCATCCTAAGTAAGTCAATTCAGTAGTACAAAAAGCTCTTACCTCTCTGCTCAGTAACTTCTTTTTTTTTTTTTTAATTTTTTAAAAAGATTTATTTATTTATTCGTACAGAACTGGGGTACAGGCCAGAGATGCGGAGGGTGAGAGGATTCACCAGAGACAGAGTGGGGAGCAGAACAGGCAGATCAACGAAGTACACTGCTGAGGGGAGCAGCGGGCGGGTCAGGAGAGGTCTGCCTGGCCATGTGGATCTCCTCGGGGCAGGCGGGGATCAAACTCATGCAGAAGTGGCTTAAGCTTCTTTGTGCTGTGCTTTAACCCTCTGCGCCACCAGGGAGGGCCAATGCTCAGTAACTTCTTAGCAAACTTTGGAATCAAGAGAAATCCCTCAAATACAAGTGTTTGTGTGTGCATTGTGATTGATAGCAGTATCAGAGGAACAAACACTGGAACAATTTTATTTAGGTACTGCCTCAGCATCCTCATTGAATATTTTTTCAGTTTTTTGATGGGGTTTATCTCCTGATTGGGACAACTTAGATTCTGTTGTTTTCACTAACATTTTGTAATACTAAAAGAAGAATTTTTTCTAATGATGTGTATGTTATAAAATCCTAAAGACAAACATCTGCAAATTAATTCCAGTTACTAGATGAGGAAGTTGAATATTCAAGAGATTTTGTCCCGGTTCATCAAAGCAAAAATAGGAGCAAATCAGGCAGTCTCATAAAGTTGCTGTGTGATCCTGTGGAAGTCACTTAATCTGTCTGTGCCTTCAGTTTCCTTGTCTGTAAAAACAGAGTAAGAATAATATCTTTTCATACAACTATTGTAAAGATAGGTTGAATTAGTGCATGTGGTGCACATAGATTGCTGTTTAGCACAGAGTAAACAGGGAGCTTACTTTCTTAATTATCACTATGAACTTTAGCAGAAAATGGATTTCTGTAAGAAACAGGGTGGCTCAATGGTTTATGCTCAACAAAAGTTTCCTGGATAATAGGATCTGAGCTAAGTTTGCGTGGTAGACTTACTGGGAACAAGAAGAGTGTGGGGAAGGAAAAAAGGGAGGCAAGGAAGCATGGAAGGTGGTGCATTTTCTGGCTGACCATTGAGTCACAAGAAAATCCACCAGGCCTTGGCCATGTAGAGCAGTTTCCATATTGGTTGTGTGGTATCAATGTGCTCAGCACAGGAGAAGATATGAGAAGCGTGCATCTCAGTCCCATATCACCTTCCATCCATCTCATAGGTTGTGCAGTTGCTTCCTCCCATGCATCCTCTGAATTTGGAAGCCTCAGGATGAGCCAAAGCTTCTGTCGGTCTCACCTGGGCAAGTGGGGTCGGGTGCTGGAGCCAGCGTAGCTTCCCTAGGTTGTGTCTGAAAGCTCTGCTAAAGCCCTGCAATCAGTCAGGACAAGGACAAGATGGCTGGTGGTGTTAGGAGAAGATGTGAGAGTGACAGGGATGGGGCTATCCATAAGCTGGTAATAGAGGCTGGGGAGGCAAGTGAGAGGGCCCATTGAAGTAGTTGCTGCATTGAGGCCAGCCCTGACGTTCACAGCTGTGCAGTCTTAGGAAAGTGCTGTGCCCCCAGGTCCTTGGTTCTAAATGAGATTGTGGTGAGGATTAGAGGTAATAGATATAAATGGTAGATAATATTCTTTTTCACCATTTTTTAAATAGATATAAATTTTCCATGACCGTTGAATTTGCCTCTGGAAGTAAAACATCTGTTTGAATTAAAAGATGTGACTGAGATGATCTCCAAGAAGCAGGTGCTGCTGCAGTGAAAGCAATATTTAACCCTGGGGTGTGTCAAAGAAAATCACAATGAAAGCTCATGGCAGAAAGTATGGATCATCCAAGGAGGTCAAAAACTTAGAGAAAATCATGAAACCTGAGAAATGATCTTATACCAAAAATTGCCATATAAAATTGTTGCTTTATTTCTGGTTTTAGCTAGGAAATGGAGAGAACTTGGTTTTTATCTCATTTAAAAATTATATTTATTTATTTATGTATACGAGAACTGGGGTACAGGCCAGAGATGTGTGGGGGCACGGGGACTCTTTCACCAGAGAAAGAGTGGGGTAACCAACAGGCAGATTGATTGAAAAACACTGTCGAGGGAAGCAGCAGGAGAGAGGTCTGTTTTGCCATGTAGGTCACCTCCCAGGTCAGGGATCGAACTCATGCTGTGGTGGCTGTGGATCTCTTCATAGTGCTGTGCTTTAACCCTTTGCACCTTTAGGGAGGCCTGTAACTCATGTTTTATGGACACAGTGACTGTAAGTGATTTAGCACAATCATCTGCAGTCATGACTTCTATGAAAAGCAGCATCAGGCAAGAAAAGCAGCATCAGTATTAAAGCCAAATGGAAATATTAACATTTTTTCAGAAAAGGAGAAGAAAGAGGGAGCTTGCTGAGCTCTAGAGACTTCATGATCAGATGAGATATAAAGCTCTGGTAGAGAATATTGTTAGGGACTCAAAACTCCCATCTCCCAAGTCTAGGACCAAAGGCTATGTGCAGGTGAAGGGATCAGTTGAAGCCACCTCACAGCACATCTCATTTTCTTGGCATTGGTGCAGGTAGAAGACGGACACAGAACAGGCCTGTGGCTTTAGAGGCAGCCAAAGTGGTGCTGACCACTGACTGACTCAATGTGTCACCTCAATCAGCCTGTCTCATTATCTGAGAAATGAGGATAATGACAATTCCCATGAAAAGCCCTTAGCACACAGTTTCCATAGCAGTTTCACTATCTTATTTGCTGTTATTTCCACAACTTCTCTTTTTCTTGAATGTTCTATTACTCCCCAGGGTTCTTTTAGCCAGAAGCTTTAAGATCTGAGATTATCTGTGGCATATGAGAGAAATGACATTTCTTTGTGTCATTCACTGGATACCCTAGAGCCAATGAATTTTTTTTTTTTTTGTCAATACCTCACTGTTTGTCATTTAGTCAACAAATATTGAGCAGTGACTCAGTGAGTTACCAAAGATGGGCGATCACGGCTCTCTCCTTCTTTTCTTCCTCACATCAGCTTCTCTGTCAAGTGGGAAGATCCACATGTCCATAAGACTGGATCTCAGTCTAAAGGCTTCTCAACCTAAGGATTGAAGGGACAGCCATGAACCTATGAAAATGCATGCAAGATACTGCGTGTGAGCATGTTCCTTTTCTGGGGATGAGGGTTCAGAAATTGCATTACAGTCACAGAGGTGTCTAGACTCAAAGGAAGTAGAAACCCCCACAGTGGGTGCAGGCACTCAGTGCTCCTAAAAAAGGAAAGATGCATACACAGCCCTGGAGAGAAGGGCTGAGGCCGGAAAGAGAGAAGGAGGAGGAAGTGCCCTAGTTGGGTCTGGCTGATGAAATCCCTCGGTGATTGTTTTTGTTGG